AACCCCATGAGGTGTTTCTTGGGTTTAATCTGCACTGTAGAAATAATGCAGTTTGACAACATCCTGGGATTTTATTTTAGTTTGTTGTAGTACCAGAACTCTCTGACAGGAACAGCTAAATATCTCACAAAATTACATTGGAAAAAAAACCAATAATGCTAGAAAAGTTAGAAGAAAGTAGAAAGGAAGACCACATGCCAGATAGACAGACTCAATCAGAGATGTCATAGGCCTGAATCTATAAGACCTAAGCAGAGCAGTGAAGAACAGGGGGCTTGGAGATGCTTATACACAGGCTCTCCATGAGCCAAGGTTGACTCTGTGAACCAAGGTTGAGGGGAAGGGCAGCCATGAAAGAGCTAGAGAAGATCCTAAAGAACAGAGATAAACAACTGAGCACCAAAGTAAGAATCATCCAAATCCATAGTATTCCCAATCACTATGTATGGATGTGAGAGATGGGACTTTGAAAAAAAAAAAAGCAGATAAAAAGAAAATCAACTCATTTGTGATGTGGTGTTGGAGACAAGTGCTGAGAATACCATGGATAGCCAGAAAGAGAAACAAATGGGTCCTTGAGTGAATCAGGCCAGAAATACCCCTGAAGTGCAAAATGATTATCGTAAATTGAGGCTGTGGTATTTTGGCCACATCATGAGTAGGCATAACTCATTAGAAAAGACAATAATGTTGGGAAAGGTTGAGGATAGAAGGAGAGGTAGACTACATACCAGATGGGAAGACTCAGTCAGGAAGGACACAGGCATGAGTCTTCAGGAAATGAGCAGAGCAGTGGAAGACGGGGAGACTTGGAGATGTCTCATCCATAGGGTTGCCATGAGACAAAGATGACTTGATGGCAGCTAACAACAACAGGCTCTCTTTAATACTGATCCAGTCTAAAATGGCCATGTCTTTAATTCTACCACTATATCGAGATTAAAATGCCATATCTATCTCTTTCATTTATTGCTCTCATTTTACAGGTTAATTCTTCAAAGAATGTGCAAGAGTCTATCACTTTTTCATGCAAGACTGAACACAGAAATACCCTAGATTTTTCCCAAAGTCTGTAAATTTCCATGCTGGCTGCAATCAGGAATATACACTTCCCTAACTGGTATGATCCTAATAACATTTGTTACAGTTGTGCATAACTGGAGCAGAGAGTTTATTTACACTACAGAGTTATAGAAAGTTGATACCACTTTAACTGTCCTGAGGCTCCTCCCTCTGGAATCCTGGGATTTATACTTTGGTTAGGTACTAAGAAGAGAGATTTAGTGCTGTAGTATGGGGAGAAGTGGATTCATTGCTTCTTAAAATGCTCTAGCTGACACTTTGTTAAAATAAAAAGGCAGGCTTATAGATTTCCCAATAGCGAGATGAATTTATTATTCTGGTTGCCTAGACAAACCAGGTCGTCAGCCTAAAAATAGTTGTCCTGACAATTTTAACATATTTTTGTGTGTGGTAATAATTTGTAGGTCAAATATTGGTTTAAAATATTCTTCTACATCCACCTTGAAGTTTGCCAACGGGACTGCACTTGTTGCTCTGAGTAATGTGTGTTCCTTGAGCTTATTTTAATCTTACTAAGTTGGTAATGGATGTGGTCATGTTTTGTCTTGCATCTAAAGTAAATTGTTAGTCAGATCTGCTGAGCTGTTAGGTTAGGCTAATATGGATATGCTTTGGTTTTTCTTCACCCTGTAATCCTACATAATATTCCTGTGATTTACTTATAGGATGGAATATAATAATGCCCTCTTGTACACATGAGCTAAAATAGTTCCTTTTACCCATTGCATATGGTTTAAAGCGTTAGTAATGACACAATATCCTTCATTGTGGGCAACAGTTCACTCCATGCACCTAAGGCTACATCTGCACTGCAGAAATAATGCAGTTTGATACAGCTCTAACTGCCATGACTCAATGCTATGGAATTCTGGGATTTGTAGTTTTATAATATATTTAGCTTTCTCTGTCAAAGAGCTCTGGTGCCACAACAAACTGCAAATCCCAGGATTACATACCATTGAGCCATGGCAGTTAAATGTCAATCTGGATTATTTTTGCAGTGCAGATAGGGCCTCAGGAAGTAGACTAACCACCTTTGTAGACGGCGCTTTGCGCCGTCTTGGAGGTAAGGAAGGGGAACGGCAGCCTCACGCTGGGCACCTCAACCCTTTCCCGAACACATCATCAGAGCTCCCATCGCTCCACACGACGGGCGCTCAGATGATGTCCTTCCGCCACAGCGTCCGGACATGCTGCGATGGAAGAGACGCCGAAGAGGCGCCCAACACTTCTTGTGGCACACCTTCCGCGCCTTGTGGAAGGAGTGCTATTTTAGCACTCCTTCCAAGGCCCTAAAAGAAGTGGATCGGGGCTGAGGAGTGTGGCTACCTCGGCCCCAATCTGCAGCTTCTCGGGGCAGCCCATGGCCGCCTGTCTGCTGAAAACCTAAGGAGCTATGCAGATGGGCAAAAAGAGGTGCTTTGAGGGTGACTTGTAGGTGTGCCGTTTAGACGATGTACACCTAAAAGTCACCATGAAAGTGCCCTCTAGCTGTCATATGCTGAGAAAAGCCACTTCAAAAAGGAGCTGCTTTTTCCTGCTCCTTCAGCGAAGATGTGAACCTTCACATGTGCGTATGTGTGCAGCAACACTGGTGCACTAGAAAAGGGCCGTATAAATGTACCATCGCATGTATAGTGGAAATTGAGTTGGTGATCCAGAGCATCCTCCCTACAATGCAGGCTTTAATTTAAAGTGCCCTGTGCTTCCAGGTGTGGATGGATCGGCGCAGGTGTGCTTTAATATTAGAACCCTAACCCTAATTGTAACCCTGCGCATGTGCCCTAACAACTGTTTTCTATTATGACAATAAATGCATTCTGTTACATGTATGCTTGCTGTCAGCATGCACAGCAGTTTGCATGAAAGAGGCTTTTGTGACCTCTTCTGTGCAGGTGTGCAGGTGTACATAAGACCTGCACACCACTTCCTGGAATGACGGGGAGGGGGGGCTCCTGGAGTAACATTTGTCCATGTGTCCTTTAGTGTCCTTGCATGACCACCAGCTACATGTGTCCAGTCTGTCCACACAAACCTCTGTTGCATGTACCTCTCCCCTCCTCCCTCCTCCCATGTGGGACATGTTTTGTGGAGGTCAATGGAGTAGGTGTCTTTTCAGTTGACAAACTCGTTCCTTCATCCCAAGGGTGGCACAATCAGACAGCGGCACCTGTCCACAGCACCCACTCCTTGGGGGAAGCCGAGATCAGTGAATCCTTGCATGATATGTGGGTGTATAACAGGTCCTGCACAGGTGTGCATGGATGTGTTCCTCCGCATGTGCGCATGCGTCTGAGAAAAAAAAATTAAAGCAGCCGCTGCCCTCCATATGGCTGCTCCGTTTCCCTATGTGGCATGCTTGGGGCCAGTGGGCCAGTTGGCGAGGCTTCAATACAGCCTTGGAAAAGCCTTGGAAAAGCCACATTGACTCCCCCCAGTGCAGTTGTTCCATCCCCATTTAGGGCATCCTTGGGGTAGGCAGTGCAGTTGCTGCAGCTTACAAAAAAGGCAGCTTCAGGTCACCTTTTCCTGCCCATCTGCATAGCCCTTAAAAGTCTAAGAAAGCTTATGCTGTGCTATAACTTCTTTTGTAGAAGAGTTAATGTGCTTCGATGATATTACTTCAAAAATACATAAACATGAACTCATTGGTAGTCCTAGTCCCTTCCTTCTAATACTTAGAGTGTCCACTTTGTTGAGACTGCAGACTGCAATTCCAGAAATCTTTGATAATAGGTATATATATGATAATATGGATACTAGATGCTATTTGATTTTTAAGAACTTATGTTTTAACAGATGATTTATGTGTTGTCCTGATACCACAACTATAATAAATTTACTTTTATTTATTTTATAATTAGCCCCCGAAGAAGGCCAATTTGTACAATGCCAAAATGTGTTCGGCTTTTTAAGATGATAAAGTTTGTGGACTATCAAAAGCACATGGGACCTCATTTCCTTTAACTTTTCTACTGTGAATATTTGCTTTCCAGTTTTTTGTTCTGTTACAACTTATTTTGCACAGTTAGTGTCACAGCTGCTACCCTTTACATGCTGATATTCCAGACTAATACAGACTATGGGGCTTTGTAGACCGGCCTAAAGGGACACGCCGGCTGCCCTGACTCCACCCCAATACTATCCTGATGCCATGCACCTGTTTGCATGGTGCATAGTGTCAGGACGCCCTTTTGGCACAGTGTGTGTGCACACGCTGCACCAAAAGGGTGCAAAAAAGCCACCACAGTGGCTGAAAGGGCAGCCTTTTGCCACCCCCAAAAGGAGTGGCATTTTGCTGCTCTTTTGGGGTCGGAAAAAGGAGTATCAGGGCTGCAGTATACGGCTGCTGCGGCTCCGATCCGCCGCTCCCAGGGGCAGCTCTGTGCCGCCCTTTAGGCCAGTCTGCTTCAGCCCTAAGTCTCTGAATTCATTGTGGGCTGGTTTTGGTAGCGTTGGGATCAACATGTAGCTCCAATATAGCTTTGTACTATAAAGTATCAGCAACCTCAATATACTATGTATATCTACTTATTTATAAAGTATTTTATTGATTTTATTTAGTTTTTACTTCTTATTGTGTATCTTCAAGTCATTTCCGACTTATGGCAACTCTAAGGTGAATCTATCTTGAGGTTTTCTTGGCAAGATCTGTTCAGAGGAGGTTTGCCATTGTCTTCTTCTGAGACTGAAAGCATGTGATTTGCCCAAGGTCACCAGTGGGCTTCATGGCTGAGCTGGGAATCAAACCTTGGTCTCCAGAGTCATAGTCCAGTGGTCAAACCATTGCACCACACTGGCTCTCAGTACTGAAGCCTACTTGTATGTCTGGAGAAGGTGCCTGAAAAAATATATCAAGAAATTCTTGTTGTCATTCTTGTTCCCATGATTTTAACCAAATCTTGTCTATGTACATTTATGAATACTACTAAGTATACTTACATAGTATACATAGTTACTTATGTATATTAAGTATAAACAAGATTTGGCTCCAGACATACAAATAGGCTGCAGTATTTGAAATTTCTGCAGTTATTGGTTGCAAGTCCTTGAGCATCAAGCTCATGAGTTATCCCCAACCATTGAAGATTATCACACGGTGGCTTACCATCCATAAAATGCCCCTAAATCTCTGACAAGCACAAAGGTGTGATAGTCAGTTGTCCTTGTCCCCGTGATTAAATTGTCATGGAGGCATCCTCTCACCTCTCCCGTCATTAAAGCATTCGCAGAGCCTGCCATTTGTTAATAATGGGAACTTCTGGTATTAACATATTGTGGCTCCATGAACGTTTTAATGATGGGAGAGGAGAGGGGACACCTCCATGACAATTTAATCACAAGAACAAGTGCGACCGACTATAATGCCTTCGCGCTTGCCAGATGATTTAGGGACATTTTATGGACGGTAAGCCTCAATGTGATAATCTCTATTGATTTAACTAGAAGCCATGATGGCAAGGAGAGGATATAATAGTAAATGGAAGTAGTGATGGAAGGTGGAGGTAGTTGACTTCCAGCCATCTCCTCCTTGAATGCCTAGTTTCTAGCTTGGACAAGAACGAGAACATTTCTGGATATTTGTTATGTGCTTTGTTGTTATTGTTTTGTGCCTTCCAGACAGTTCTGATTTTTGATTTTTTAACGTTTGTTTGGTTTATTCAGAAGACATTTGTCATTGCCTTTCTCTCTAAGGCTGAGAGAGTGTGACTTGCCCAAACTCACCTGGTAGGCATCCATAGCTGAGCAAGGACTTGACCCCTGGCTTCCTGGAATCCTAGTCGAACACTCAAACCACTACATCACACTGCTCCTTCTTTTCTTACTTGCAGCCAATTAAAATTCAGTAGGAAGTACAATCTAAGCACATTTTTGGGACTATACCCAAAATTATCAGTTTAATTGGTCTTTATTTCTTCTTGTTGTTGTATGCCTTCAAGTCATTTTTGACTTATGGTAACCTTGAGGTGAAAATATCACAGTTTTCTTGGCAAGATTGCTTCAGAGTGGGTTTGTCATTGTCTTCCTCTGAAGCTGAAAAAGTGTGACTTGCCTAAGGGCTCCTAGTAGGTTTCCTGGTTGAGTGGAGATTTGAGCTCTGGTCTTCCAGAGTGCTAAGGTGCATCTACACTGTAGAAATAATGCAGTTGGACATCACTTTAACTGCCATGGTTCCATCTTACAGAATCTTAGGATTTGCAGCTTGCTGAGGCACCAGTGCTCTTTGGCAGAGAAGGCTAAGAGCCTTGTAAAATTACAAATCCCAGGACTCAATAAGATGGAGCTACAGCACTTAAAGTGATGTCAAACTGCATTATTTCTACAGTGGAGATGCACCCCTAGTCTAACACTACACCACCCTGGCTCATACAACCAATTAACTGGATATTTTTAGGCATAATCTTAAAATGTGATAGATTTGACTCTCACATTGAATTTTGACCATGGTTTTGCCTTGCTGAGACATTATTGTTCTGTTTTACCTTTTGTAGGATTCCTCTCATATTTCCCTTCTCACTTAACCATCCTTTGTTCCTCCATACTTCCTTGCTTCCTGTCTATGCACTGAAAATAAATGGGTGATGTCAGGTTGAATTGTGCAACATTAAACTGATGTCAAAACTTGGGATTTAGACTTCACTGCAGGAGCAAGGTGCGATATAACTTTCAAAGGCAACACTGGTTTTCTGACATCTCTAGTGTTTTCAAGGGCTGCAAGACTAAAACAGTGTTTGACTGCTTATTAAAAACTGGGATGGGAAGGGAAGAGAGAGAACTATGCTGATAAAATACTACAAGTGAGTGCAGAGTGGCATGCTTATTTTTGACTAGCTTTTTTTTAAAAACACTGCAATGATTTCATTTAGCTTTGATGGTTTTTTTAATAGTTAAAAAATAGACAGGAAAATATTTTTAATAGATATTGAAAAGACTGAAGAAAAAAATGTGTTGTTGGTCTTGTTGATATTTATCGTCAAGTTAACTATGAGTAAGAGACCTCCACAAAGGTCATCCAATCCAACTCGATGCCAAGCAGGAAGACACAATCAAAGGTCTCCCAAATGATGATCATCCTGCCTGAAAACCTCCAAAGGAGGAGATTCCACCACTCTCCAAGGCAACATGTTCCATTGTCAAACAACTCTTACTGTCAGGACATTCTTCCTAAGGTTTAGGTCAGGGGTCAGCAACCTACGGCCTGCAGGCTGCATCTGGCCCATGGACCCCCGCTTACTGGCCCGCGCCGCCTGCTGCCGCCCACCACCACCGCTGCGCATTTTGGCCACCATGCGCCCACGCGCGTTGCGGCTGTGGCAGCACGTGCGGCGGCGGGGGTGGCAGCAGTGGTGGCGGCGGCGGCACGCACCACCATTTTCCCCCCTGGCCCGCTGGAAGGGCCCGCTGGAAGGGACCGGCCCCAGGTAAGGGAAGGTTGCCGACCCCTGGTTTAGGTGGAATCTTTTTTTTCCTTTTTTTGAATCAATTGTTCTAGTCCCTGGAGCACAGAAAACATGCTTGCTCCATCCTCAATATGACACCCCCTCAAATACTTAAATAGGGCTGTCATATCACCTCTTAACCTTCTCTTCCCCTGGCTAAACATACTCAACTCCCTAAGCTACTCCTTGTAAAGCATGGCTTCCAGACCTTTCACCATTTTGGTCACCTTCCTTTGGACATGCTATATGAGGATGCATGGAACATGCACATAGGTAGAGAATAGTGGAACTTTGTGACTTCAGCCACCTGTAGACCATTACTTTCCCTCTATCCTCTCCCCTATTTGCATGTTTGAATCCTCTGGGCTCAGACATACAGTCTGCTCATTGCAAATATTTCCACCATTTGGTGGGCCTCTTGCTATACAGTATGATAATATTTCCTTTTCAACACCAAACTCCTCGGTGAGCTTTGAGAAGTGCAAAGCAGGTGCCCTTTGGGTGTCTTGCTTTGGCTGCCTTTCCCATCTGTTTTTAGTAGTCTCCTATTTCTGAATAATTTATTTTTGCTATCTGCATAAATTGAGCACCTGGCCTAGGGGGTAGCTTATTCACCTACTGTAAATTATTTAGAGCCAAAAAACCCTCTCCCTCACCACCTCTTTGGTTTATATTCAGATACATGAAGGTTTAATGGGAGGAAACCTCTTGATAGAAGAATGCCAGGTGCTATTTGTGGTGGTCAGTTGTTAGGACTGAATCCAAAACCATGCACATATATAGAATAAACCTGCTGAAATAAACAGAACTTAAACCTTGTCCTGAAAGCCAGTGTGGTGTAACAGTTTGAGCATTGTACTAGGACTCTGAGGACTAGGATTCCCCACTCAGCCATGGAAATATACTGGGTGACCTTGGGTGAGTCATATACTCTCAGCCCCTTAAAACCACATGATAGGTTCACCTTAGGGTAGCCACAAGTCAACAAAAACAAAACCTTCATCCCAGCTGGGGTATTTTAGTGTCCCAGAGTCATGTTTTGGTGCAGACTTCACACAGAACTAGACCTACAAGGCAGAATTTTACAATTTTGTCACTGTAGGAGTTTTTTTTAAAAAAATGTACCTGAATTTCATTTAAAATGAAAAAAATGTACTGCCAAGTGCAATTTTTTTAATAGGAACATGGGGTAAAACCCCCTAACTCAACCAGATTAGGTACTTTTGCACCCTAGAAAAGTAGTTTATTGGGACAAAAACCCCATTTTGAGGTTCAAATATTGAGGTGGAGAAGCTGGTGAGAGTGTTCCAATATGAAACAGTTCCTAGCTCTGCTGAAAGGCAGGTGGTTTCTAAGTACACATTTGATTCATCCTGTCTAGAAAGGACTAGTTAGAGGTACTGGTGTCACTAGAGGAAAGGATGGGAAGATTTGGGGAAGACATTCGCAAAAATAGGTATAAGACCTGGATATTTGACTTGGTCATATCGAGGAATAAAGAATGATGCACCATAATGCTGAGAAATAAATGACTTGACTAAGGCTGCAGAAAGAATCAGGTAAGAGAAGCACCACTTGAACCAAGAGCTTTCAAATTCATGACCAGCCATATTTCAATCTGATTTAGTAATTCATGACTTGAGCTGTAGCTACAGTACCTCCTTTTATTTCTCTTGTGTGCCTTTAATTATTATTATTTATTTATATCCTGCTTTCTGCCTGAAACAGGGACTCAAGGCAGCTATATAAGTTTAAATTGGTTCTGAACTATGTTGACCCTAAGGCAAACTTCTCATGGGGCTTTCTTGGCAAGATTTGTTCAGCAGAGTTTCTACTGCCTTCCTCTGAGGCTGAGAGTGTGTGACTTGATCAAGGTCACAGAGTGGGTTTCCATGGCTGAGTGAGGATTTGAACCCTGATCTCCAGAGTCATAGCTGAACACTCAAATCACACTGGGTTTCATTACCTCCTTTTCCTTCTTTTTATTTCTTCCATGGTGTCATATGTTTGTTTTATAAGCTTCAGCACTGAAGACTCAGGATCGTGGCATTGAAACAGGCCTCTCTGTATCTGCAGGTGAGTGAAAAGGAGAACCTGATAGAGCAGTCACAATCTAATCATGCCATTTTGGCTTTCTGCCTTTTATTTTTACAATGAGGGAGAAGGAAAGGGGGGAAGACCACAAAGTTCAACTGCCGTATCCCTGTTGTATTTTCCTTTCCTGTATTCGACATGTCTCGCCAGAAATGCAAGACTGACAGGATGATAAAATGCTGATGCCAGGTTCTCTTGCCCATTCAAAGACCCTCCCTCAGGTATCAGGTACCTGGACTTTACTTTGAGGTCAACCAGACACCTCCC